CCTGCCAATGTACAGACCCGAATTCGATTCCTTAAGGAATCGAAATTTCTTTTTGGCAATTTCTTGATTTATGGGTGTCATCCATGCGCATGGGCCATGCTGATCTGCGCGGCTGATCTCAGCCGCGCGATCTTCACGATCGATGGTCGGAATCGACCACGCCGGTAGCAAGTAGAGTGGACAACTCCAAAACGAGCTATGCCCAACAGGGCGCGGCGTTTCGGATTCGATCCCGGTGTCTCACGGGTAGTAGTCTGGTGTTGTAACCTACTGGGCTAGCTCCTATCACAATAGTAATAGGAGTAGCTCTTCTATATGAAGAGCACCCTCCCCCTCCCCCACCCTCACACACACAAAATCGGGTGTGTGTTGGTGCGTATGTGTATTTGTGTGTGTGAGGGGGGGGGGAGGGGGAGGGCGCTCCCCCACAACCAATCGACCAACCAACCAACCAACCAACCAATCAATCAATCAATCAATCAATCAATCAATCAATCAATCAATCAATCATCAATCAATCAATCGACCAGTCAATCAAATAATCAATTAGTCATTAAAAAAATAATTAGAAGGAAAAAAATTGCATGTGTTGTGTGTGTGTGTGTGCATGGGGGGGAACGACCCCCCGGAAATAAACTAACCAACTAATCAACCAATCAATCAATCAATTAATCATCAATCAATCATTAAAAAATAAATCAAAAGAAAAAAAATTGCGCTTTCACGCGTGGTGTGTTTGTGTATGTGTGTGTGCGTGTGTGTGTGTTTATGTGTATAAGTATGTGTGTCAATCAATCATCTAAAAAATCAAATTCTTAAATATATATATATATACAAAGTTGCCAGGCCGAACGTACGGAGACCCCTAAACTGACCCCCGAACGTTCGGGCGTTCGGGTCCCCGTACGCGGCCCGAACTCGAAGGGGTTCGGACCCCGCAAAAAATTAGTTTGGTACCTAAACATTATTATTTTTTCCTGATTGTATTTTTGTAAGCTCTCTGTTATGTAAGCTATCTGTCTCTCAATTTTGAAGTCATTCTGTGGAGCCAAACAATAATGAAAAATCGACAAAGATGGTGGTGTCAAAACTTGCTTTCCCACTTTCTAATTTGTTTTTCTTCTCTTTCACTTTTTGTTTTCCCTTTATTTCGGGGCCTGAAAAAAAAAATTATTTTTTCAAACTTTATTTGTAGGTTCTCTATTATGTAAGATACATACGTATAAAATTCATGGCATTTGACAAAGCCAAAAAAAAAATGAAAAATCGCAAAAGATGGCGGTGTCAAAAACTTGCTCACCACGCGATAATTTCATTCTCGTTTTATTTTTTCTTATTTTCATTAATATTATTTATTTTTCGTATTTGATTTTTATTTCAAATTTGGTGTGTAATTTGGATGTACTGTTGAGGCAAATATTGTTTAGTTTATTCTTCTGCATGACATAGTTTTTTTTCATAATTTTTGGAAACGCTTTTTTTTTTTTTTTTGGTTCCGCGTTCGGTCGAACGTCCGAACGCGTCGAGAGGGGGTCCCAAACGTTCGGGCGTTCGAGTTCGGGTGTTCGGCCCGTCCCAAACGTCGGCAACCCTGTATATATATATATGTATATAAAATGAAACATGACATTCTGTGATTGATTGATTAGTTGATTGATTGATTGATTTATTGTTGATTTATTGGTTGATTGATTAGTTGATTGATAAAATTGATTGATTGGTTGATTGATTGGTTGATTGATTAAATGATTGATCAATCAATCAATCAATCAATTAATCAATTGATCAATCAATCAATCAATCAACTAATCAATAAAGAATATGGGTGGGGGTTGCAAAATTTTCACCCCCCTCTCTTGTACGATTTTTTTTAGTTTTTTTTTTTCTGTAGAATACTATTAAATTTTAGAGGTAGGTGCGTCAGATCGTGATTTATCTATAAAAAAAATAAAAAAATTAGGGCTCGATATGGGATTTGACGACCCTGAGCCATTAGTCGGGCGAGATTTGAACCCCGGATCAAACTCCCAAACAACCGAAATGTTCGGGAGGGTGTCTGACCTATTTTGGCGGATAACACTAGTTCAACCAATGATGAATTAAAGTGTAGTACTCCTCAGAAGCCACAATATCATCGACAATGTTTGTCATGACTTTCAATAAACATGCATACTGTTTAAAAATTACTATTGCAAACCATATGAAAAATAATGATATCATCATGTAGTTGGAAGTGGTTGTGGTAACTTTTAACCGACCTATGATAAAGGTAAAAATTCTTGTGATGATTCAAACTACCATTTTGTTAAAACTGACTTTTGTTTTTTAAAACGTTTAATGAATTTGTTTGTGGCTAAAAAAAAAAGAATTTTTGTTGTGATTTTCATAATTTTTTTGTTATAGGAGGGTGGTATCTACCAAAGACATTACCCTCCCAAAACATAAATAAAGTTCATAATAAAAATTATTTATTTTCAACTGCAAACAATCTAAGACGTGTTAAACGAAATGAAAAAAAAAAAAAAAAAAATTTAACGAAATGACAATTACTAATAAAAGGCATAGCTAGGCAGAAAATTGTTTTTATAAATTGAGATGATCGTGATAAGAATTGAAGGTTATTGATAATCATAGCGGTTAAACTCACAATTTTTTTTCCTTTGTTCTCGAACGAGTGAAGACTCACATTATGATGTAAATGTCATGCCTTTGCATGTAAATTATATGTAAGTTAAAGTAACCTAGGCAAATTATATTCATAACATTTAACTAATAGTCAATATCATATCTGACATTTAAATACTTAAAGTAAAAACCCTTGTAAAAGTTTTTGCTCCAACGTTATGTGTGAGAGTGAGTCATTGCATTGCAACCATGCAAGGTAGGGTAAACATCCAAACCAGTATAGTTCCGCTTTCAAGCATCGTGCCTCACAGTAAATAAGGTACGAAAGCCCCGAGATGAAACTGATATTACCTTAGTAACTACCGTTTTTCGCCAAACACAACGTACCATGATAGAGGATGAGGCAGGGTATGGTTGGATGATGAAGGCCGTGCCTTGCTTTGCGGAGAACCGTTTCAACATTTTGCTCACACATGTGGCCTTCCATCGGGCCAGTGAGCTCTCTACAAGTCTGTGGTCCAAACTTGTGCCGTGTGCTCTTGCTTGTCTCGGCCTACAACGAGTTGTGGGACGCCAGTGGGTCTGAGACCATGCAGCCTGTGACAGGTGGGGAGCAACGGAATGAGGCCCGACTTTCATCTAATCCCTGTTGGGTGGAACGAGGCCCTAGGTAGGAGCGCAAGGGAAGGGTGCCTTTTCTTGAGAGGGCAGTGTGGCAGTCCACAAAAGACAGGGGGAACAGAACCCAGGGCATGACTCTCAGTTTTTGGTCCACGCCCAAAACAGGACCTTCGTGGGATCTGAACTGTACTCTCGGGGAGGTTTGCTCAGCTCCAGTTCTGTTCAATGTCTCGCTGTTGGACAGGTGTGGAAGCGTTTTGTCTTACCGAGCGAGTGAATCTCGTTCGGCTTGGATCTCGAACTACGGTCTATTTCTTTGGAGTGTGGACGCTGCTCTACTCCGCCTGTCCCTCCTCGACTCGATCGCCTTCTCTCCTCTTCCCCATAGTGTCGGCCACCTCCCCACTCCCCATTGTCGGTCTTCACCTCTCCACTCTCTCGGCTTTCCTCCGTCTATCACCAGTTGCCGGTCTTGCACTTTCCGCCCTTCGCTCAGGTACTGCGGGTATGTTGGGTGTCCATGGTACCGCGGTCTGGCCGTTATCGCTGGCTTACCTTGGTGCATCCCGTCCCGCCTGCTACCTTAGGCCTGCGTCCTGGCTCGAGTGTCGAGTGCGGTTTCCACCAGACCGCCCTTCACCGAACCTCGCGCCGTTCCTTTTCTACTCTGGTATCGAACCCACCCACCCCTCTGATTGACGTCGGGCCGTTCTTTTCCCCCTCTCTTGCGCCAAGCCTTTTGATTGATGTCCTGTGCGCGGGTAATCTGTCATCAATTGTGGGCCGAGGGTGGCACTTGCGAGGATTTCGCAGCGATTGACTTTTCCTCTCGTCCGTCTCCGTCCTCCTTCTGCGAGGCGATGCCCAGGCTGGCTATGAGAGGGAGATGTGAGTGGGAGCAGCAGGTTGCAAAATAGCAGTTCTCTGATCTGCACATCGACGGTACAGGGAGGCAGAAAATTTCTCCTCCGTGTCCACACCCGCCTTTTTCCACCCTTTCTCCGAACGTGTTCCCGCCGCGCCTGTGCCGCGGTTCATGACGGTCTATGATCGACCTACAGTTGGAAAGCCGTAATTTGCAGAGAGAAGCGGGTTTGGCGCGCGATTCAAGCATCGGAGCAGGGGGGGGAAAGGGGAAGGAGGAGGAGGAGGAGGAGGAGGACGACGACGACGACGAGGAGGAGGAGGAGGAGGAGGAGGAGGAAGAAGAAGAAGAAGAAGAAGAAGAAGAAGAAGAAGAAGAAGAAGAGACCGAGAAGCAGCAGGAGGCACGACGAGCAGCCAGGGGTGATCTGTCTGTATCTCCCGCACCTGGGCGCCGACTCTCAATGTGCTGTGAATTTCGGATGAGCGCTAAACCGCCAGGGGAGTGAAGGTGCGCGCGCAGAATTTTGGACCGGGGGGAGGGCGGGGAAGAAGGAGACGGTTGTTGGTTGAGACGAGGGGATAGACCGAGTGGGTAACTCAGAATGGACTAATGATGTAATTGAAGGATCCAATGACTCGATGAGGAAGGAGGAGCGTTGTGGTGAAGAGGAGAGGACAGGTTGGCTCTTCACTGC